GAGCTACTCGAATATGCAGCCACCTTGAGCGGCACAATTCTAGAACAGAACAGGAGCTAAACTCTACACTGCTGCTGCCTATCAGTGCTGTAACATTAAAATGTTTACTTTATCTATTAATGTAAAATCTCTGACATCTTCCAACACTGTTGTTTAGAATAGCATTTTAAATATTGAATTAAAAAAAATATATGTCAAACCATTTCCATGTTCTGATGATTAATAATTTCTCTTTTTACTTTCTTCTTGTGTCCATCTTTCTCAGCAGCAGCAACTCAGCAAAGAGGAACCCTGAAGACCCAGAAGACTCAGGCTTGTCTGAGGATTTTAGCAGAGATGACCATGTGAAGGATGAAGGAGTAGCAGTCATTCAGGAGGTTCAGTCAATCAGCTGTGGGTCATCTGCTGCTGCCTAATATCAAATTATCAGGGTCGTCTTCATGTAAAAGGAGACAAACCAGTCTAGAGCCTCCCTGCTCCTTCAAGTCACACTCCTTGGATGAGCATTCATTACTGCAAGCAGCTGTGTTGGAAATCTTTCCTTATATCTTATCTTAAAAAAAAATCTATTAATGAATTAATTGATGTTGTGCTGGTGAAGATTCTTAGTCATCCAGGACATGATGAATTCAAAAAACGTTCAATACAAAAACAACTGGACTTTATTTGTAACAGATGTTTCGCTCTTCATCCGAGGAGCTTGAATTGAGAAAGCTCCTCGGATGAAGAGCGAAACATCTTCTGTTACAAATAAAGTCCAGTTGTTTTTGTATTGAACATTTTTTGAATTGATGTTGTGAAGAATTCTGTCAAAACTTGTTTAAATAGCTTGTCTTCAGTAATCTGCATAAGTACATCTTTTACATTTAAATTGCATCCGTTTGTATATTTTACACATCTGGTAATGTATGTGGAGGAAATGCTCAAATTAAAGCTTCTATTGTGTAACAATTAAACAAGGTTTGCGGCTGCTTCTTGCAAACACTTATTTAATAATTTTACTGAACACTGTACATGGAGCAATGTTGTAAAGATATATATATATATATATATATATATATATATATATATATATATATACACACCCACACTTGTATATATTGTATATATATAATGTGTGTGTGTGTGTGTGTGTAGCCATACTGCTGTTTATAATGTCAAGAACAGAGGGTCCAATGGAGGGTAGGACTGGTTTAAAAAACGATGCAAGGATGGGGGTCAGCAGGGGAACCTGAGGGTTTCATATGACCAATGACGTCATTTAGAAATAAGAGGGAAATGGGTTCAAACTGGTTAAAGACTGATGTGGAGGGGACAAAGACAGAGGGGTCAGCTGTGGTGTGAGGAATCAGTGACCTGATCGACTCAACCTTTTTAACAAAGAAACTGGCAAAGTCCTCACACGTAACTGCAGAGACCTCCCTGTTGGCAGACTGAGGCACGGTTAAAATAGAGTTAATGGTTTTGAAAAGAACGCGGAGATTGTGGCTGTTTGAGACGATGATTTGGGAGAATTTTTTTTTTTTTTTCCGAATTAACAGTGGCCTGGTACTCTTTGTAATATGATTTTAGCATGATACTTTGTAAAAGAAATGTGAAGTTTGTCCTTCTTCCGTTTACGTTCGGCTTTCCTGCATTGACTTTTGGCTGCTCGAGTGATCTCATTCATCCAAGGGTGTGGAGTGCACTTTGGATGCCTAATTTTTAATGGGGCAACTAGGTCAAGCACCTTAGCACAGGTCTCTTGATGTACAATGACTAGCTCGTGGGTGTTCATGTAAGAGGATTCAGAGACTGAGAGAGAGTTTTTAGTAAAAGCAGAGGAAAAGAACGCAGCAGTGGAAGGGTTAAATATTCGACAAGGCCTTGCTGGAGGGGAGGGGTTTGGACTCGTTCACAAAAGAAGTGTTGAAAGAAATGGATTTGTGGTCAGAGAAAACTGCATCCCCAATTTCTAACTCAGAAACAGATAAACCAAAAGTTAATACTAAATCCAGTGTGTGGCCATGCTGGTGAGTTGGTCCTGCAACATTCTGTACAAAATTCAGAGACTGGATCAGATCTAGAAAGTCCTGAGTCAGCGGCTTTTCAGGGCAACAGACATGAATATTGAAATCTCCCAGAATCAAAACCCGATCATATCTGAGCAGAATCCAAGTTAAAAAGTCAGAGTTCAGCCATGATGAAGTCCTTATTATATTTGGGTAGCCTGTATAACACAGCAGAAAAAACAGGATTTGAATGGCCCACCTCAAAACACAGTTCAAAGCTCAAAAACTTAGCTGGTATCTGTACCAGTTTGCACTTCCATCGTTTTTTGAAAATAGTTAATAATCCACCACCTTTTTAAGAAATTAAAGAGAAATTATTAATCATGAGAACATGGAAATGGTTTGACATGTAGTTTTTAATTCAATATGTAAAATGCTTTTCTAAACAACAGTGTTGGAAGATGTCAGAGATTTTACATTAATAGATATAAAATTAAACATTTTAATGTTACAGCACTGACAGCAGCAGCAGTGTAGAGTTTAGCTACCTGTTAGCTGCTAGCTAGCTTACTTTACAATTGGAGGCTGTTTCCTTACACAGTTACAGAATGGTAAGTTTATAATGATGGATAACGTTACCACAGCTAACTAACACGTAAATACTGTTGTTATTAACCTTACTTTGCGCTATATCTTATAATATAACCTCTATAAATAAAGGTTGAATGAATGAAATTCCATGAAGTTTACAGACAGGTCTCCCGAGAGAGAATAGACCCGGAAGTACTGATCCACATCGAGTCAGAACGTAAGTTGTCTGACGTTATGTGAAAAGGGTCTATTGTAAAAGACTGCGTGTTTGAATGAATAACGTATAAACAAACCTTTTCTTTCTTCCTCTTCTTCTTGTGAGATTTATTTGCGGTTGGAAAACGTCTTTCTTCCTCCAAGTTTCTTTTATGGTTTGTTCTTTGTTTGACTGCCCCTACTGGTCTGGAGCACTTCTGTTTTTGTGGAGCGAGTTTGCTGGTGTTTTCACTGTTTGCAGCATTTTTCTGTTTGTTGCATGTGTTATTTGTGTTTGCATGTGTTATTTGTGTTTGCATGTGTTATTTGTGGTTGCATGTGTTTTTGTGTTTGCATGCGTGTTGTTTTTAGTTTGCGTTTGATTTTTTTGTGTTCGCATTTGTTTTTGTGTGTTCATTTTTTTTTTGTTTGCATTTGATATTTTATTGTTTGCGGGGTTTTTTTGTTTGAATGTTTTTTTGTGTTTGCGTGTGTTTTTTGTTTGTTTTTTTGTGTTTGCATTTGATTTTTTTGTGTTTGTGTTTGTTTTTTGTGTTTGCATTTTGTTTGTGTTTGTGTGTTTTTGAGTTTGCATCATAGAAGTTTGCTGCGCGTTTTGCCGTTTGCTGCGCGTTTTGCCGTTTGCTGCGCCTTTGCACTTGTCGACCACCGTAGTACACCCTGATCCATCTCTTCATTCTCTCAGACAAATTCACAGGTTCCTGTTTATTTACCTGTTTATTTACCCTCACTCGAAAAGCTCAGTTACCTACGGTGACTTCTTACTATAAACAAACCAAATTGCAGTTTGCATTCTAGTAACCCCATGAATCTTCTCACGATGAAGCATTTGCTTCATTTAGTCACTCCTCCTTCCAGTTCTTTGTTGCAGATGACTCATTTATTACGCTCAATTTGTTTAAAAGCTCATTACATTCATTAGTACAAGATCACTGCACATGCTTTTAAGTTTTACAGTTCCTGTCACTGTCTTTTTCTTCACAATGCTTTATTTTAATTGTGCATACAAAGTTTTTTTTATTTCATTTAGTCTTTTTTCGACTGCTTCCCTCAGTGAACTCTCGCACAAAGACGTGGCAATTGTTTTTACGCCAGATGTTCTTCCTGAAACAACCACAGACCACTGAGCTACCACAGCCTTCCGTGTGGAGCTGCGGTGCTCAGGGGAGCAGATTTATTAATTCATTCAACCTTTATTTATACAGGTTAGTCCCATTGAGCCTCGGGGACTCATTTACAAGAGACCTGATTTTAACATGGTGGGTTAAGTTGGTAGGTTTAGGGGCATCAAGGGCCCAGAGTGGGGTAAATGAGGGTGGAGGCAGGTGTGGGTGCTTCACCTTTCCTACCCACATTGTGATGGTGTCGGTCTGGGGAGTCGGACCGGCAACCTTCCGATCACAGGCAATCTCTAAACTCTGCATTTTAGCCAAGGTTCTAGAAAAACTGATAAACTCTCAAATCAAAAAGTATTTGGACTCATTTAACATCTTACCTCCCCATCAATCTGGTTTCAGCAAACAACACAGCACAACCACTGCTTCACTGAAGGTTTTTAATGACATTGTTGAAGCATTGGATGCTAAGGAGTGTTGTCATGCACTTTTCTTAGACCTGTCTAAAGCTTTTGACACTGGATCATAACATTTTGTGTCATAAGCTCTCAGAAATTGGTTTCTCAGGTCACACCATTGGTTGGTTCTCTAACTATCTCTCAGATCGGAGGCAATGTGTTCAACATAATGGTACTTCCTCCAGTTATTCAACAGTCAACAATGATGTACCACAAGGTTCAGTCTTAGGACCTACCCTCTTTACAATCTACATAGGTAATGTAGGTCAGAGCATCCTTGACGCATCCTTACATTTCTACGCTGATGACACAGTTGTTTATTGTCGAGCTAAAACAGTTGCTAAGGCTTCCTAGCTTTTACAATCTGCCTTTGACATCATCCAGTCAGATTTGTTCCGTCTCAAACTTGTCCTAAATGCCGATAAAACCAAAGGGATGCTTTTTTTCGAACAAAAGGTTGGTCCCAGCAGTTATTCCTCTGATTTTATCCTTTATATGAGATGAACAGAAAGATTAAGGTTTGCTCATGAACACACTTACTGTAGCTATAAACGGAATAGACTGCAGGAGGGTATGTTCATTTCAAGAATGTGTCATAATCTAGACTCTTTGTTTGCGTTGACGTGCAGCTTCTCTGTGTCTTTGACTCAGGCCCTGGCAGAGGCCTTCCTGGACCACCTATGGAAGATCCTCCAGAACCCGTCTCAGCCTGCCATCCTCCGGCAGGCTGCTGCTGGATACCTGGGAAGCTTTCTTGCTCGAGCCAAGTTTGTTCCTGTGCTGTGAGTCCACACATTGTTTCTGTTGAAGCTGCGACTAGCTGGTGAATGGCATTCATAAAGCGGTCTCCAAAATGTTTCAATAGTCACTGGGCCTTGCCTCTTTGTTGCTAAAATTGTTCTAGAATTGCACCGCTCAAGGTGGCTGCATGTTGGAGTAGCTGTGTTACTTTCATTCTGAGATATTACTTTTGAAAACTTTAATTCCTCTTTTTTCTGGATATAAATCACTTTTTTTTTGGATGATTATTTCCTCTGGTGTCGGATGCTGTGCAGCTGGAAGGATTTTTACAGAAATATCTTTGATTTTAGACATTTGTTATGATGCATAACCATATCAACAAGGTTGTTTTTTACAACCGGGAGCAGCTGATTAACATCTCCAAAGCTCAAATAATATCTCAACTACAGCCCCAAATCCCAAATGAGTTGAAAAGGAGGCGTCGTGGATGCAGAGCAGGAGCAAAGAAGAGGGAGAAAGAGAGAAGAATGAAGTTTAAACCATCTCTTCCATCGTTCATGATGGGCAATGTGAGATCGCTGGGAAACAAGTTGGATGAACTTCAAGCCCTAACAAGGACCCATCCAGAGTATTGGGAATGCAGTGTAATGTGTTTCACTGAGACATGGCTGCAGGATCATATCCCCGACTCCAGCGTTTCCTTGCCAGGCTTTCTGACCATACGAGCAGATAGAGATTTAAAGAGGAGTGGTAAAAGGAAAGGAGGGGGGTTGGCAGTGCTTGTGAACAACAGATGGTGTAATCCTGGACATGTTACTGTGAAGTGTCGTCTCTGCAGTCCAGATATTGAACTGTTAGCACTAAGTTGTTGCCCATATTATTTGCCAAGAGAGTTCACCAGTGTTATTTTGGCAACTGTTTACATTCCACCCAATGCTGTTGCAGAGACTTCGTGTGATGTCATCAGCTCCGAGGTTGCTAAGCTACAGACACAACACCCTAGTGCATTTGTTGCAATATCTGGGGGTTTAAATTCAAATTCAATTCAAATTCAAAAATACTTTATTAATCCCAAAGAGAAATTATTTGTTGTTGTAACTCGTTATCCTCATTTCATTAAGAGAGGTTATAGATACTGATGGCTGTAGGCAGGAAGTAAAGGTCCATCCCACAGTGGATCCTAAGAAACTGGCTGCAGATGCCATCCGATCTGTCCACCCAGACTCGGCTGGCCTCTCTTTTCCCCCGGGCTGTAAGACCGCCCGAATCCCTGGCAGAACTCCTCCCAGAGCGATGGCCACTCCTCCCAGCAGTCTGCCGAGCTCTCCATCGCTGCGGACAGCCAACTGTAGGTGTCGAGGGACGATCCGTCCTTCCGCTATCATGAGCTGTGTTTCCTGCTAGTTCCAGGATCTCAGTGGTCAGGCACTCGAGCACAGCTGGCAGGTAGATGAGAATGCATCCACAGAACATCCTTTTCAACTCATTTGAGATTTGGAGCTGTAGAGGCAGGGCAGCCGGCTTGGGACCCAAAAGTCCCAGGTTCGATCCCCAGTCACTGCACATCACGTGGCGTCTCTGGGCAGCACACCTCATCCCCATAATGCCCCCCGGGTGCTTTCAATAGCTGCCCACTGCACCACCTGGTGGTGGATGGGTTAAATGCAGAGACTAATTTCGCCATTGTATGGAAACATACAGTGCTGACATTGTGATGACATTATTATTATTATTATCATTAATCAGCTGCTGTTAGTTGTAGAAAACAGCCTTGTTGCCATAGTTACGCATCATAACAAATGTCCAAAACTAAAAAAGTTTCAGTAAAAATCCTTCCAGCTGCACAGCATCCGATACCAGAGGAAACAACCATCAAAAAAATGTGACTTACATCCAGAAAAAGAGGAATTAAAGTTTCCAAAAGCAAAATATCAAAATGAATGTAACACAGCTGCTCCAACATGTAGCCACCTTGAGCGGCACAATTCTAGAACACTATCTAGAACAGATGACTTTTGTTGGGACTGGGAGCTATAAAAATAAACTGAATTGAAGAGTTCATGAAATAGTTTGGTAAAAACAGACAAACAGGCAAAAACTTTCTCACTACAGCCACCTTGAGTGGCGCAATTCTAGAACATGGAACATAATCTAAAACATAATCATGCTTCTCTCTCTGCTACACTTCCGACATTACAACAGTTTGTCAGCTGCTCTACCAGAGAAAACAAAATGCTGGACTTGTTTTATGCAAATGTCAAGGATTCATACAGCACTAAAGCAAGACCCCCTCTTGGCAAATCAGGTCACAATTTTGTGTTTCTCTGCTCAAAATATAAACCACTTGTTCAGAGGTAACCTGCAATAAAGAGAACAGTGAGAAAATGGTCAACGGAAGCTGAAGAAGCCCTGCGGAGTTGTTTTGAAGCTACAGACTGGGATGCACTGTGCCAGCCATATGGAGAGGACATCAATGCCATGACTGAGTGTGTGACCGACTATATAAACTTCTGTGTAAACAACACCATCCCCACCAGAACAGTGAGATGCTTCCCCAATAACAAACCCTGGATCACCACCGACCTGAAAGAACTTCTAAACCAGAAAAAAAGAGCCTTCAGGGAGGGAGACAGGGAATTATTGAGGAGTACACAGAAGCAACTAAAAGTCAAGATCAGAAACAGCAAGGAGGTGTACAAGAAGAAGCTGGAAAGCAAGCTCCAACAGAACAATATTAGAGAGGTGTGGTCAGGGATGAAAAAGATCACAGGCTTCAAGCAGAAAGAGGATCAGAAGGATGGAAGCCTAGACAGAGCCAATGAACTGAACACTTTCTTCAGTAGGTTCAGTTCAGGAACAAGCTCAGCATCCTCTTCTCTTGCCCATAGCAAACATACATACCACCCTCCATTGACCCATGGCTGTCCGGTCACACCTCAAATACTATATCTACCACCTCAGTCATGGACCCTTCTTCTACATATTGGTCTTCAACCAAATCAGAAGATGCTGATACCTCCTTTGCCTCCCCCCTCTGCGTCTCCAGAAGGTGGGTGAGGAAGCAGCTGGAGAGACTGAACCGGAATAAGGCTGCAGGTCCAGATGGTGTCAGTCCCAGAGTCCTGAAGGTCTGTGCAGAACAGCTCTGTGGGGTTCTACAGTACCTCTTCAACCTTAGCCTGACCCAGGAGAAGGTTCCAGTGTTGTGGAAAACATCCTGTCTTGTTCCAGTGCCAAAGAAAACTCACCTATCAGTCCTCAATGACTATAGACCTGTTGCCCTGACATCCCACATCATGAAGGTCCTAGAGAGACTTCTACTGACCCACCTGACTAGACAAACAAGCACATATCAGGACCCACTGCAGTTTGCTTATCAGCGTGGACTTGGAGTTGAAGATGCCATCATACACCTGCTTCATCAAACTCACTGTCATCTAGAAAAGGCAGACAACACTGTGAGAGTCATGTTCTTTGATTTCTCCAGTGCATTTAACTCAATCCAGCCTGATTTGCTTTGTCAGAAACTCCAGAAGACTCAGGTGGAGGTCTCAACAATCACCTTGGTCAAAGGCTACCTGACAGACAGACCACATTTTGTGAGACTGAAGGGTTGTGTGTCTAACCAGGTCGTCAGTACCTCAGGTGCACCACAGGGGACTGTACTCTCACCATTTCTTTTCACTGTGTACACCTCAGATTTCCAGTACAAAACAGACTCCTATCATCTGCAGAATTATTCTGATGACTCTGCAGTAGTCGGGTGTATCAGAGATGGACAAGAAGCTGAGTACAGGGAACTGGTGGACTGCTTTGTGGCATGGTGTGGAAACAATCATCTCATCTTGAACGTGAACAAAACAAAGGAGATGATTGTAGATTTCAAGAGAAATAGGAACAGGTCCAACCCTATTTCCATCATGGGAGAACAAGTGGAGGTGGTGAAGTATAAATACCTTGGAGTTCACCTGGACAACAGACTGGACTGGAAATGCAACAGTGAAGCCATCTACAAGAAGGGACAGAGCAGACTGTACTTCTTGAGGAAGCTGAAGTCCTTCAACGTTTGCAGCAAGATGCTGCATATCTTCTATAAGTCATTGTAGAGAGCGCTGGGTAGCAGCACCAGAGCAAGTGACTTAAAAAAGATCAACAAGCTCATAAAGAAGGCTGGCTCAGTTCTGGGGACTCCTCTAGAACCTTTGGAGATGATTGTTCAAAGAAGGATTCTTCATAAAATGAAGAACATTATAGACAACCCTCAGCATCCTCTTCATCAGACTGTCATACAATAACAGAGTGTCTTCAGTCAGAGGCTTCTTCAAATCCGTTGTAGGACAGATCGCTAGAAGAGATCCTTCCTGCCCACAGACATCAGCATCTATAACAACTCATTAATGAAACCAGGATGATGAGCTGACCTGCTGCACAGGAGAGATCATCTTTTGGCCACAGCGAGAAAATCTTGACTGATTGGTTGAGTTTTCGACAGATGAGGAATAAATGCACAACTGCTGTCAAAGCAGCAAATCGCAACTATTTCTTATCTCAGACCTCCAAAAATCTAAACAACCCTAACAGATTCTGGAAAACCATCAAATCTCTCTCAGGCACCCCCAATCATCTGACCTCCCATCACAACTTCTCGTTAACTCTGTTCCTGTGTCAAATAAGCACGAGATCCTGAACTGTTTCAACAAACATTTTGTTGCTTCTAGTTCTTTATTTGACACAGTTACTAATGGAAAATTAGCCACTTCACTTAATAACCAAACTTCTACAAATCAAATCCCTCCTGCAAGTCAATCCTCAGTTAATCACAGCTTCTCTTTTTCTCCATTCTCAGTCAGTGAGGTTAATAAATTTTTAAAAGATCTTGATCCTAAAAATCTGCAGGTCCAGATGAACTTCCACCTTATTTCTTAAGGCTGACTGCTCATATCACCACAGTCCCTGTGACCCACATCTTCAATCTCTCCATAAGACAAAACTCCATCCCAGACACTTGGAGAACAGCCTTTGTTCTTCCTTTGCTGAAGGGAGGTGATCCCACCTCACTGAACAACTATCGACCAATCTCTAAACTCTCCATTTTAGCCAAGGTTCTAGAAAAACTGATAAACTCTCAAATCAAAAATTACCTGGACTCATTTAACATCTTACCTCCACATCAATCTGGTTTCAGGAAACAACACAGCACAACCACTGCTTCACTGAAGGTTCTTAATGACGTTGTTGAAGCACTGGATGCTAAGGATTATTGTGCTCCACTTTTCTTAGACCTGTCTAAAGCTTTTGACACTGTGGATCATAACATCTTGTGTCATAAACTCTCAGAAATTGGTTTCTCAGAACACACCATTGGTTGGTTCTCTAACTATCTTTCAGACCGGAGGCAATGTGTTCAACATAATGGTACTTCCTCCAGTTATTTAACAGTCAACAATGGTGTACCACAAGGCTCAGTCTTAGGACCCACCCTCTTTACAATCTACATGCATAATGTAGGTAAAAACATCCCTAATGCATCCATACATTTCTATGCTGATGACACAGTTGTTTATTGTCGAGCTAAAACAGTTGCTAAGGCTTTCCAGCTTTTGAAATCTGCATTCAACTACATCCAGACAGATTTGTTCAGACTCAAACTTGTCCTAAATGCCGACAAAACCAAAGGGATGCTTTTTTCAAATAGGAAGTTGGTCCCAGCAGTTCTTCCTCCGATTTTATCCTCAAATGGTGTCCCCATTGAGTTTGTTGATTCCTATAAATATTTGGGTATCTTGGTCGACTCGCATCTCTCTTTTAAGCTCCATGTGGAAAACTTGGTAAAGAAACTGAAAGTTAAACTGGGTTTCTTTTTCAGAAACAGATCCTGTCTAACCCTGAATGTTAGGAAACGCCTTGTATCTGTGACTTTCCTTCCCTCCATTGATTATGGTGCCATTATTTACATGAACGCTCCTACAAGAACCCTGCAGATGTTGGATGCTGGCTATCATGGTGCACTAAGATTCATAACTGGCTGTGATTATTGTACCCACCACTGCACCCTGTATTAACTGGTTAACTGGACACCATTAACTTCACGCAGACTCTCTCACTGGTACATTTTCATCTTTAAATCACTTCTTGATCTGCTGCCTTCATACATCTCCTCCTACATGTCTCTGTGTGAGTGCAGCTACAGTGTGTGCTCCCAGGACATTATTACCTGCAGTGTTCCCTCAATGAGGACTGAACTAGGCAAAAAGGCCTTCTCCTACTCCGCTCCTGTTTCCTGGAATATCTTGCAAAAATATCTGAAGTTCTCAACCTTGACCTCTCTAAGTGGCTTTAAGAATTTGTTACATCCCTGGCAAAAACCAATGTAAACATGTTCCTGTTTTTAGTTTTCTACATTCGCCTTAGAATCTAGCTGTTTTTTTGTTACCTTTTTCTTTTAGCCATCATATTTGTAAAAAAAACAAACTGCAGTATGACTTTTTATAATTGTTTATAGTAGTTGCTGTTGTCCATTGTTGTCATCTTTCTTTGTTGAAATCAGGTCTCTCTTATAAATGAGTCCTCGAGGCTCAATGGGATTACCTGTCTAAATAAAGGTTGAATGAATGATGAGTTACCACAGCATATAATTTCCCTTTGGGATTAATAGTTTTTTTTTTTGGAATGAATGTTGCTAATGATATTCTCATGGCTTCAGACAATGGACAGGGGTCTACACTGGTCTTGTTAGACCTCAGTGCTGCATTTGATTTGGTTGATCAGAATATTCTTTTACAGGAACGCTTTAAAAATGGTTTAAATCATATCTATCTGATAGATTCCAGTTTGTAAATATAAATAATGAATCTTCTTCATACACCAAAGTTAGTCATGAAGTTCGTCAGGGTTCAGTGCTTGGACCAATACTCTTTACTTTATATATGCTTCCATTAGGTAAAGTTATTAAACAGCATGGGATAAATTTTCATTGTTATGCTGATGATACACAGTTATATTTTTCCATGAAACCCAATGCATCCAATCAGTTACTTAGACTACAAGCATGTCTTAAAGGCATAAAAACCTGGATGACCCTAAATTTTCTCCTTCTGAACACAGACAAGACTGAGGTTTTAGTTTTTGGACCTGAGCATCTTAGGAATATTTTTTTTTCAGTATTTCACCCTCCTTGGATTGCATTATTCTGGCCTCCTGTTCTAATGTTAAAAATCTTGGTGTTATTTTTGATCAGGACATGTCTTTTATCCCCCCCATTAAAAACGTTACTAGAACTGCCTTCTTCCACCTGCGTAATATCACTAAAATTAGAAACATCTAAAAATGATGCAGAAAAACTGGTCCATGCATATGTCATGTCTAGACTGGACTATTGCAATGGTTTATTATCTGGGTGTCCAAATACTTCTTTAAAAATTTTCAGTTGATCCAAAATGCTGCTTCCAGAGTCTTAACTGGAGTTACTGGGAGAGATCATATTTCTCCAGTTTTAGTTTCTCTCCATTGGCTCCCTGTCAAATCCAGAATAGATTTCAACATCTTACTTCTAACCTACAAAGCCCTCAACAACCTGGATCCATCTTATATTACAGATGTTATTGTTCTATGTTTTCCTAACAGAGCACTTCACTCTCAGACTGCAGGTTTACTTGCGGTTCCTAGAGTTTCCAAATGCAGAATGGGAGGAAGATCTTTCAGTTATCAGGCTCCTCTTTTGTGGAACCATCTTGCAGTTTCTGTCTGTAAGGCTGACACATTATCCAGTTTTAACACTGGGCTTAAGACTTTCCTTTATAATAAATCCTTTTGTTAAGGTTGGCTTGTCATGCTTCCTTAAGCTTAGACTACAAGAGGACAAATTGACCTCATTTCCTTAATTGATTTGTTCAAATTGAATAGTTTTCATTTCATACTATTTCTTAACATGTGATTCTTGACCTGCCATTGTGTATCTGTTTCCACTTTTGCCTCGCCGCCTTGCTTGCTCAAGATGGTAGTTATGTGATGGAGTTAAACTCAAAGCAGTCTGCTCCTCCAATAAATAGTGTTAAATTATTATTTATATATATGATTGCCCTGAAATGACATTTTTTGTGACTTGGCGCTATATAAATTAACTGAATTGAATTGAAACACTCAGAATTCAGTGACTTCAAGAAAATGAACGTCTTATTGATTTACTTAAGTCCAGCAGTGCAGCCTGGTTGGATGCTGGCTTTAGGGAATACATGATGGCATCTTCAGCTGGGTTTGTAATGTGGTGTCTCCGGTCCTCCAGCTCCGTGAGGGCCTGTCTGGACCTGCTTGTGTCCTGGATCCACCGCTACATGGACAGCCAGGACAGCAGTGGCAGACAAGTGTGTTGTGATGTCAGCCTGCACGGACCCTTCTACGCTGCCTGCCAGGCTGTCTTCTACACCCTGATCTTCAGACACAGAGCCATCCTGGAGGTCAACATGAAGAAAGGTGCACAAGTTGGTCTTTTCAAATACAAAATATCTAATGATCCAAAAACGAGCATGTTTGGTTCTGATGAGCGGTGTTTGGTCTCCCTGTTTGTGTGTCAGGTCTGGAGTACCTGCAGAGCTTGAACTTGGAGCGGGTGGTTCTGTGTCAGCTGAACCCTCTCAAAGTGTGCCTGCCTCCAGTCACCAACATGTTTGCTGCCATCACCAGGTACTCCAGCACACACACACAGGAGGATTTTACACTCAACCCTTCACAACTGAGACCAAGGACAGAGATCTTTAACCATTCTGAAGAATCAGACTCTAACCATACTGATGAGCTTGTCTGAACGTGGACTGTGTTTATTTGAATTAATCTGTTAAGCTAACAAAAACTTTTCCTCCAAAAATCATAGTTTGCTTTGTTATAGCATTTACAATGTGACACAAAGTCAAATGACTTGCCATTTAAAGTATGAAATATAGGTTCAAAGAGCCAAATCTAACACGACAAATTAAACAAAGCTTTTGGTATTCATGTATTTAAGAACGCAACTTCTTCAGCTTGGTGTAAAAAGATATTGTTGGTAAGAAAACAAATCTTTTTGAATTCAGTCAAACATTCAGATGTTCTTTTAGCTCGACCGCACTTTTCTTAACCTACAGAAGATTAATATTTTTAATTGTACACATTATAAACACATTTGGAAATACTTCTTTGCAAAGTACTTCAGAAACATGTTGTTGAAAGTCTAATTGTTGCAGGTCTGGAAGTCTCTAGAGCAGGAGTGCCCACACTTTTTCATCATGCGAGCTACTTTTAAAATGACCACGTCAAGTCACATTTATTTTTATAGCACATTTAATACAGTAACTGTTATCAAAGTGCTTACCAAAAAAGATCACAGCTTCAAATATTAATAACATATTACAGCAACATGAATAAAAGCATAAAAACAAATTTAATGATAAACAATAAAATACTAAATCAAATCACCCTGCGTTAAATGTCAGAGAGTAAAAGCAAAATGGATGAACACAATCATCAACAACAAAATACTAAATGAGATCACACTGTGTTAAATGTCAATGAATACAGATGTGTCAGTGAGTACAGATGTGTTTTGAGGAGAGATTTAAAAATAGAGACTGAGGTGGCCTGTCGAATGTTGATGGGCAGATTGTTCCAGAGTTTAGGAACCATGACTGAAAACACTCGATCTCCTCTGAGCTTCAGCTGGTTTTTGGTACGGCCAAAAGCAGCTGGTCTGATGATCTCAGGCCCGAGAAGGAGTATAAGGATGAAGGAGGTCGGAGAGGTATGACGGTGCAAGGCCATTAACACACTTAAATGCCATCAGAAGAATCTTAAAATCAACTCTGACATGCACAGGAAGCCAGTGAAGAGAGGACAGAACTGGAGTAATGTGCTCAAACCTGCGAGTTCCTGTTAGTAGCCGAGCTGCAGCATTTTGGACAAGCTGGAGACGTGAGAGAGAGACCTGACTGACCCCAGCATAAAGCGAGTTACAGTAGTCCAGCCGGGTTGTAATAAATGCATGGACTAGTTTTTCAAGGTCGGATCTGAACAGGACGGACTTGAGCTTAGCTGAAAGAAGCTTTTTTTGAAGAACAGAATTTATCTGCTTATTAAACTTAAAGTCCGAGTCTAAAACTATCCCAAGATTGAAACAGACTGTTTTAGATATGGCTGATGGGAGTCCAGGTTTGCAGGATAAGTGACAGTGGCAGAGCTAGGGTTAAACACAATGACCTCAGTCTTCTGATCATTAAGGGGCCGTTTACATGGCGCGTATTTTGAGTGCATCCGCAGCTTTCTCTCTGTGGTTCTGCTGATCATTTACACGACACCGGTGACCCCCCTCTTTGAATCCGGAGGTTTCTGAATCCACCTTCCAGAGTGGAGGTTTTTCGCTGACTCCCCCCGCTGATGATGTAAACATCTCCCGCTGAGGCTTTGTGTTAAACCACATGCGCACACACACGCGCAGACAGACGCTATATTACTATCAACATGGTGGCGGACACACTGCTTTCAGAACTATGACTGATGGAATATATTTTTAATCTCGTAGTTAATCTACGTCAGATTCTAGGTGCTGCGACCGACATCTGTGTTGGAAGAAACACAGTCTGATCCAATTCTAATGTCGCTGTTTATAGAACGTGGCACGTGCACACGTCGCGTTGCACTATAACATCTAAATGCCATCATACACCTGCTTCAGCAAACTCACTGTCATCTAGAAAAGGCAGACAGCACTGTGAGAGTCATGTTCTTTGATTTCTCCAGTGCATTTAACACAATCCAGCCTGATTTGCTTTGTCAGAAACTCCAGAAGACTCAGGTGGAGGCCTCAACAATCACCTGGATCAAAGACTACCTGACCGACAGACCAGAGTTTGTGAGACTGAAGGGTTGTGTGTCTAACCAGGTGGTCAGTACCTCAGGTGCACCACAGGGGACTCTACTCTCACCATTCCTTTTCACTGTGTACACCTCAGATTTCCAGTACAAAACAGACTCCTGTCATCTGCAGAAATATTCAGATGACTCTGCAGTGGTCGGGTGTATCAGAGATGGACAAGAAGCTGAGTACAGGGAACTGGTGGACCGCTTTGTGGCATGGTGTGGAAACAATCATCTCATCTTGAATGTGAACAAAACAAAGGAGGTGATTGTAGATTTCAGGAGAATCAGGAACAGATCCAACCCTATTTTCATGGGAGAAGAAGTGGAGGTGGTGGAGAAGTATAAATACCTTGGAGTTCACCTGGACAATAGACTGGACTGGAAATGCAACAGTGAAGCCATCTACAAGAAGGGACAGAGCAGACTGTACTTCTTGAGGAAGCTGAAGTCCTTCAATGTTTGCAGCAAGATGCTGCATATCTACTATAAGTCTGTTGTAGAGAGCGCTGTCTCTTCTGCATCATCTGCTGGGGGAGCAGCACCAGAGCAAGTGACTTAAAAAAGATCAACAAGCTCATAAAGAAGGCTGGCTCAGTTCTGGGGACTCCTCTAGAACCTTTGGAGATGATTGTTCAAAGAAGGATTCTTCATAAAATGAGGAACATTATAGACAACCCTCAGCATCCTCTTCATCAGACTGTCATACAGCAACAGAGTGTCTTCAGTCAGAGGTTTCTTCAAATCCGTTGTAGGACAGACCGCTACAAGAGATCCTTCCTGCCCACAGCCATCAGCATCTATAACAACTCATTAATGAAACCAGGATGATGAGTTACAACAACATTTAATTTCCCTCTGGGATTAATAAAGTATTTTTGAATTGAACTGAATTGAATTGAAATGTGCTAAATAACAGTTTAATAATAATAAACAGTATTTATGTTAGTGTGAGAGATAATGAAGCTCTGAGCTAAATGAAGCTATCTGGACATTATGTAATTCAAATTTAAAATGATGCTAAACATATAGCGTGAACACTAAAGTTGAAAATGAAGACATCAGGTTTAATTTTTATTTATTTATTCAACACCACAAACTGTATGTCACACAAACACTGATAATTAAACTGAACACACTATTAAAACACGTTAACTGAACTTGAATGGATTGAATAAAACAACTGATGGGAATTTTAAACAAATAGTTCATCAACATCTCTCTCTTCGACGTCCTCCTGCAGTTCATCTGGGCCTGGTTCAGAACCGGTCCACCTGGTGGGAGGACAGCTTCTTCTTCTTTCAGGAAAAAATAAAAACTCAGTTGGTTGTTTTGTAACCGCAGTAAACACAAGCTAACAATATTATGAACATTTGATTTACCTGCTGTAAAACAGCTACTGATTATCATAGAGTAAAGTCCGACATTGACTCGGTTCTGGTCCACTCAGCACGCAGTCACTCAGCGACCGGTGTGGAGCTGTTAGACGAAGCGGTCCCGCTTGGCGTCATATCTGTCGACTCGCATCCAAAATCCAGCTTTAACTTGTTGTTACGTTACGTTGTTGTTAGTTTGATTAGCCCAGAGGAAAACAACGTGCCGAGGCAGCACGCATGCGCATTAGGTGAAGGTACAAAATTCACAGCTCCATCTAATGACCTGGCATGGTAACTACAGCGGATTCGGGAGGGCGGGGGGGGGAGTCCTCCGGATGCATGTAAACCCAAAATGCAACCGTGTCAACGCAAATCTTTTCCTCTAATTAACATACGAAAAAAAACTATGTTTCCCCTCGTTGTGTCTGTGTAAATAGGGCCTAAAACTCAAGAAGTTTGCAGCCATCCAAGTCTTGATGTCATCAAGACATTTTAACAAAGGCCGAATGGAGGAGGAACTGTTTGGTGTTAACGGCAGATAAATCTGAGAGTCATCAGCATAACAATGAAAGGAAAGACCATGTTTCCTCAGGATAGACCCTAAGGGGAGGAGATACAAAGAAAACAGAAGGGATCTGCAGGAAAGAGGCATTGAAGTAGATAGAGTGTTATCAAAATTAACACAGAAACTCCTGTTGCTCAGGTATGAATGGAACCATTCTAACGCTGCACCAGTAATCCCAACCCAGCGTTCTAGCCGGGATAAAAGGATACTGTGGTCCACAGTATCAAATGCAGTGGTAAGGTCAAGGAGTACCAGGACTACAGACTGATCAGAGTCATTTGCCAGAAGAATGTTGTTGCAGACCCTAACTAAGGCTGTTTTGGGGCTGTGTAGTTTCTTAAAGCCAGACTGAAAGATCTCAAGAATATAATTTCCACTCAAGAACTCGTTTAATTGAGTTAAAACTATTTTCTCCAGGATCTTAGAAAGAAAGGGAAGTTTGGAGATGGGTCTGAAGTTTGAGCATGTTGAAGGGTCAAGTCCGGGTTTTTTTTATTAAAGGAGTTACCACTGCATGTTTAAAAGCATCAGGAACTACACCTGTAGCCATACTGCTGTTTATAATGTCAAGAACAGAGGGTCCAATGGAGGGTAGGACTTGTTTAAAAAATGATGCAGGGATGGGGTCAGCAGGGGAACCTGAAGGTTTCATATGACCAATGACGTCATTTAGAAATGAGAGGGAAATGAGTTCATACTGGTTAAAGACTGATGTGGAGGGGACAAAGACAGAGGGGTCAGCTGTGGTGTGAGGAATCAATGACCTGATCGACTCAACCTTTTTAACAAAGAAACTGGCAAAGTCCTCACACGTAACTGCAGAGACCTCCCTGTTGGCAGACTGAGGCACGGTTAAA